CCTCACCTTCTGACACTCGGAGCTCCCAGGGCTGGGGGATGGTGGGGCGATTGTCATTGGTGTCAATGACCATCACTGTCAAGGTAGCTGAGCCCACCAAGGCTGGGCTCCCTCTGTCTGTGGCTATCAGTACCAACCTGGACACAAAGCACAATCATCAGGTGGGGCATGGCAATAAGGGGGAACCCTGGGCAGGGCTAGGACTCAGGACAGAGCTTAGGACTAGGGAATTCAGGATGTGGTCAAGGGACCAAGGTGGGTTCAAGGCAGGACTTCAAACTGTACAGGCCCAAGATGGGGTCTTGGGTCCACAGGGCCAGGCCTCACCGTGTTTCAGCCCAGATCTCGCGGTCCAGGATGGCTATGGTAGTGATAATGCCTGTGGCTGGATCTACGTGGAACAATCCATGTGCCGGCTGGGATGCAGCCAGACTGTAGGAAATCTGTCCTCCAGAGCCTTGATCCAGGTCATCTGCTTCCACCTGGTGAGGGTAGAAGGCTGTTGGCACTGGTCTAGTCACAGAAAAGTCTGACTAGCCCTGCCCCCCATCTTTCCGTCACACCCCACACCTGCAGCAGGGGCCCCTCAAAGGGCCGGGACTCAGGTAGGAAGGCCACATAATGGGGCCGCAGGAAACGGGGAGCATTGTCGTTGGCATCTTGCAAAGTCAGGGTCAGCACCGAGAAGGCAAAGGCTCCTCCACTCTCTGCCTGCAGCACCAGTCGCAGCCGTGGACTCACCTCAAAGTCCAGCCCCTCTGCTGAGCGAACTGTGATGGCTCCTGGAGGAGGCAGAATGCATCAGTGACAGCCTCCTTTGCTTGCCCTGGAGCCTCCTTCTCTGAGACCCCTTACTCACGGAGAGCCCTCATCAAAGGCTCCTCTGACACAAACAACCTACTTCCCCAGTAGCCTGTCCTGTCCTGCACTGAACTCTTGCTCCTCTTCCTTACCTGTACTAGGCTGGATGGAGAATGTCCCTTTCTCATTCCCACTGAGAATGCTGTAGGTGATGGGTCCATTTGAGCCTCCTGCATGGACAGCTCTGGGAGAGACAATAAGAGTCCCTGCAGAAAGAATGGTATTATTGGACTGTAAGCACTAGACTGGGAGAGTTTGGGGTACATTTTCAATGAGCAATTCCAGCCCATTTTGGAGTTCGAATTGGAGAGACATGGCTGGGGACCCACCTGGGGGCGCATTCTCACGAATCATAGCCTCACTGCTAGCCCGGGGAAAGCGGGGTCCACGCTCAGCTTCCCCCTGCAGTCCAACAATGATCACACCAGTGGCAGAGCGAGCTGGACGGCCAAGGTCAGTGGCCACAACGAAGAGGACACGATCCCGGGGGCCTAGAGCTACAGGAGAGCGGGCCACACGGATTTCACCAGTGTAAGAGTCCACAGTAGTGCCAGGAGGTGGTGTGCCTGCCAGCCGGTACAGAATGGAAGCATTGGCACCAGCATCACGATCTTCAGCTCTCAGTGTGGCCAGAGGCAGGGTTGGGGTACTGAAGCTGGGGCCTGGGCGGGGCAGGCGCAGGCGCAGAGGACTGGTGGGGAAGGTGGGTGCATGGTCATTGACATCACGCACCATGATGGTCACAGACACTGTGGTGCTTAGGGGCCCAGCAGCTGCACCATCCACTGCACTCACAGAAAAGGTGTAGCTGGAACACTGTTCTCTGTCCAAGGCTGCAGCTGTGCGTAGCTCTCCAGAGCTGGGCTCCAGCAGGAAGGCTCCTGCTGTACCAGCACCCAGGTAGTAGGTCACACGGCCATTGGCTCCAGCATCAGGGTCATGAGCTTGTAGCTGCAGCAGCAGGGTCCCCGCAGGCACATCCTCCGGCACCTCCACAGAGTAGGCAGGCACAGAAAAGGCTGGAGCATGGTCATTGGCATCCAGCACTGTCACTGTCAGAAGCAGAGTGGCACTGAGAGCTGGCTGGCCTCCATCCCGGGCCTCTATCTTCAGCTGGAATGCTGGCTCCACCTCTCGGTCTAGTGGCCTCATGGTGCCAAACTCTCCAGAAGTAAGGTCTAGGACAAAGGCTCCTGATGGGTCCCCATCTGCAGAGAAGGGCATGCACATATAAATACACATGTGTCATGGGGATGGGGGTGATTTATAGGCTACAGCAGAGAGAGAGAGAGAGAGAGAGAGAGAGAGAGAGAGCGAGAGAGAGAGCGAGCATACGCATGTGCACAAAAGCAAGTGAACACGAGAGAAAGGGAGAGAAACAGAGAAAAACAGAAATGGAAAGTAACAGAAGATACTATAAAGCAGCTTGTATCATCTGTGTGTGGTCTGGGAACCCCTGGAGTTCCTAAGTCCTTTTCATATGTCTAAGATAAAATTATTTCATAGCACTACTAAGCCATTATATGCCCTTTTTATTCTCATTATCTCACAGATGTACAGTAGAATTTGCAGATGCTCTGTGACATGTGATGATGTCTTGGTTAATACATATGTTCTTATGTATTCCTGTGTTTTCTAAAATATTCTAGATAGAAAGATTAAAGCATGAATGTGTGTGTCTTCAGAGATTGTTTGTTCTAGCTATCTTCAGTTATACCTGCTGTAATCTCTGAAATTCATTACTGTCCAACAAATTGTTACTTGAAATCTTAGCATTTCCTTGTGCTTACACAGAAATACCACTATGCTGTATACTTCATTGGCTTGTTTCACAATCATATTTTAACATCATCTCAGTTTTAATATCTAATACAGTAAATACTGATGGAATCCACATAAAAACTCTTTAGGATTCTCAAAAATTAGTGTTAAGGGTTTCTGAGATCAAAAAAGTTTGAGAACGTCTGCTCTACAGGGATAGACAAATGAGAAATAAAAGAAATAGGAAGATAGAAATGGAGACACAGAGGGAGATAAAGAGCATGGAAAGAGATACCGAGATACACTGATATAAGCATGAAAGAAAAGGTGGATAACATCAAGAGGGAAAAGGAGACCCAGATACACTCACTGATTGGCAGCAGTCAAGAAGGTGCAAGAACCAGGCAAGTGGGTGCTGAGTTGGTGGGAGTGGGAAAGTTCTCACCTAGAATGCGGTACTGCAGCTGCCCATTGGCTCCTACATCTGGATCAGAGGCCCGAAGCATGGTAAGGGTCTGGGGGTCCTGGCCCTCAGGCACCTCCAGAGAGAGATGGGCACTTCCAAAGGTTGGTGTGTGGTCATTCTCATCCTCCACAGCCACGCGAATGGTGACATGAGTTAACTGGGGAGGTGAGCCCCTATCCTGGGCATACACTGTGGGGAAGCAAAATCAATGAGGTCTAGCCTGCTCTCATCATATGGAGAAATCCACACCACACAGTGTTCATACATGTTCATCAGGTGCACACAAACCAGAAAATGTCCATCTCTGCACACTTCCCAGGCACAAGTGTCATGCATACATAAACATACATGTGTCCTACCTCCCATGCTTGGTGTGTGCAAAATATATCTTGGACTAGTGGTGGTGTAACAGGAAAGGCACTAAATGAGGTATGAAAAGATCTGAGTTCAAGTCCCAGCCCTGCCACTTCCAAGCTGCATGAGCTTGGGCAAGTCATTTCACCCCTCCAATATTCAGTATCAATATGCTCCTCTGTTAAATGGCTGCAGTATCTAAGGGAGGCCTGAGGGCACAGCTGTGACATTATGCATTTTAGAATTGTATGGTCACAGTCTTGACAGTCTACAAGTCAGTTCATTTTGCACCCTGCCAAATTCTCGACTCCCCAAAAGGGTCTAAAAACGTAACAGGAGCTTTGTGGTAATAAGCAAAAACTTCTAGAAGGTAGTACTTTGGGGGGTTCTGTCCATGTAACACTGGTGTTTACAACACCCCACTCAGGTTCTTGGGGTCCTGTCAACATGTACCTGTCAGGTTGATCTCCTCCTGCTCCTCTCGATCCAGGGCTCGAAGAGTCTTGAGAACACCAGTGTCAGGATCCAGAGAAAAGCTTTCGCTAGAGACGCCTCCATAAGTCACTTGCCCGTTGGCTCCTGAGGAGGGGCAACATGGAGGGCGATCAGAGGGTAAAAATGCTTTTCTTGCCCCAGTTCATCCCACTCACAATTCATCCTCCCAGGTCTTACCCAGGTCTGGGTCGGTTGCTCGCAGTGTGAGGAGAGATGTGCCAGGCGGGCTGTTCTCACGCAAGAGGACGCTGTACTCCTGCTGCTGGAAAGTAGGCGCCTCGTCATTGACGTCAGCGACACTGACGGTCAGGACCTGTGTGGCCGAGCGCGGCGGAGAGCCGTGGTCTGAGGCCACCACCGTCAGTACGTGCTCAGCTCGTTGTTCGCGGTCCAAGGGCCGCACCACGGACAGCGCTCCTAGGTGAGCGGTAAGGCAGGTTGGTGACCTCAACACTTCACATCAGCACCTTCCGCGCCCTCACCCCGGGACCCAACTCTCACCAGTGCTTGAGTGCAGCCGGAAGTGGCCGTCCCCGCCAGATGCCAGGCGATAGGACACGCGTGCGGCCTCGCCCAGGTCCGGGTCCCTGGCTACCACGTGCAGCGCCGCGGGCCCAGGCGGCTGATCCTCTGGGAGGCGCACGCGTGAAGGCGAGGCGAAGACGGGCGCGTTGTCGTTTTCATCCGTGACAAAGACGCGCGCAGAAACGCGTGCTGCACGACGGCGACTGGCGTTGGCGGGCCGGTCGGTGGCTTCCACCAGTAGCAGCAGCGCGGGTGTGGTCTCTCGGTCCAGGCCGCGCGGAGCGCTGAGCGCCCCAGTGCGCGCGTCCAGGCGAAGCGCGGGCACGGGCGGCTCCTGGCGCAGCAGGCGGTAGCGCACGTCGCTATTGGGGCCGGGGCCGTCGGCGTCCGTCGCGCGAAAAGTGTACAGCGCTGCGCCGGGTTCCGGGTTCTCAGGCAACGCGAGAGCCAGCGGGTCGCGCGCGAAGGTGGGCGCATGCTCATTCTCGTCCTGCACGCGCACCTGCACTCTCAGCAGCCGCGCGCCCGCGCCTCCGGGCCCCTCGGCGCGTACCGTGAGTGCGCGCCATGGCGGGCCTGCTTCAAAGTCCAGGGGCCGCGCCAGGTACAAGCGCCCTGAGGCCGCATCCAGGGCGAAGGTGCCCTCGGGGTCGGCACCCCCTACCAATGTGTAGGTGAGTGCCCCCACACCCGCGGGCTCTGGCGGTGCCACCGAGCCCAACAGAGAGCCGGGCTGCAGCCCCTCAGCTGCTGTCACCGTCAGCACGACCGGCAAAGGTGCCGCTGGGTCCCTCTCTGCGATATCTGGGGGCGGCTCGGCCAAGCGAGCTGAGGGAAGCACCTGTTGTGGATCCGGGAGGGAGAACAGAATAGTGAGGGCCGGTGTAAAAGGAGATCTGGGCTAGCTTCCCAGGTGGTAGGGAAGAGTGGTTAAAGTAGCCTGACTACTAGTGGGGCCCAAGGACTAGTATAGGCGCCCCCGGTAGCTCTAGCTTCTTGGGGTAGAGCTACTGGGGCAGGGGGGCTACAACGGTAGCCAAGGGGAGGTGAGCAGACTGTGGGAAGGGCAGCCATACCTGCACTAGCAGCTGGAGGCTGGCACTTCGAGGAGGGCTGCCTTGGTCGTGAGCACTCAGTGTCAGCACATAGTGAGGCCGCTCTGCCCGGATCAGGGGAGCTGCAGTCAGCAGCTCCCCTGAGTGAGGGTGCAGAGAGAAAAGCTCTGAGCCAGGACCTGGGGACAGGCAAAGGAAGATGAGGGCTTGGGGCCCAGAGCTGGGCAGGCCATGAGGACACGTCATCATCCACCAATTCCTTTCTCTCCACTCCCATACCAGTTAGCGTGTACAGGATGGTCCCATTCTCCCCCTCATCTGGATCCTTCGCCTGCAGAGTCGTCACCAGTGTTCCTGGAGGCACGCGGTCTGGTACCTGTAGGAACATAACTCACCTAGTTGTCTCCTGTTCTTTAGACAACTCAGGATAAAGCTTCTCTCACCTGTGGGCAAGCAGAACCTCTTTTCTGCTCTCACACCCAGTCCAGGAGGCAGTTTCTTACCTACACCTACAGCTCTATGGGGAGATCCCCACTGCCTCTGACACTTCTACAGGACAAAGTCCTGCTACTTCACATACCTGTATAGGGAGGCCGCCACCGGCAGCTCCTGAAGCCTGCAGGAAGGTGGGGCTGTTGTCGTTGAGGTCAAGCACTGCAACATGCACAGTGCCTGTGGTGCTGCGGGATGGGCTCCCTCCATCCTGCACCTGCACCAGGAGCTGATAGCTGCTCTGCTGCTCACGGTCCAGGGTTTGGAGTGTGGTCAGTTCTCCTGGGAGTGCAAGAAGATCATGTACAAGATGTTTAGGGATGCAAAGCCTGAGACCTGGACCTAAGAAGCTGGGATGTGGGGGGTGGGGGAGGGAATGCCAAGGCTAAGTGCTTGTTCTTAGAGGCGAGATGGGAGCTGGGATTTGGGGATCTTGTCTGGATGTTCATCAGGCTGGGGATAAGGCTATGGGGTCTTGGGATTTGGGTCTCTGTGCTCACCAGTCTGGGGGTGGATGCGGAAGGCCTTGCTATCTTCAGACAGCTGTTGCAGGCTGTAGGTCAGACGTCCATTGGGTCCCGAGTCTCGGTCAGTAGCAAAGACTCGGCCCACGCTGGTTCCTGGGGGCTGGTTCTCAGCCACAGCCAGAAAGGTGGGATCCTCAGACAAGCGGGGACTGTGTTCATTCTGGTTGAGGATGCTGACCCTCACGGTGGCTGTGCCTGTCTGCTGCCCCAACTCAGCTTTGGACCCAGACACTGCCATTACCTTCAGTGTGTACAACTCCTGGGCCTCACGGTCCAGTGCTGCCCGTACCCATAGCCACCCACTCTGTGGCTCCAGGCCAAAGGGGCTACTTGCTCCCTCTGCTGCAAGGTGATAGGTGATAGGGCCCCCATCTGGTGCTTGGGCCTGTACTTGCAGGACCTGAGTTCCAGGGATGGTGCCTGAGGGCAGGTCCACACGGTAGGTAGGGCTGTCGAATCGGGGAGCCAGCCCACGGGTTCCCACATCCTGTACCACCACCCGTAGTCGAAAGTGGCTGATACGTGGTGGGGAGCCTCCATCCCGGGCCTCTAGCTCCAACTCATGGGCTGGCCCTCCTGAGGGCCCCAGAGGCCTCATAAGCCGTACATGGCCTGTGGTGGGGTCCACGGTGAAGGCTCCACCACCCCCAGCAAGCAGGGTAAATGTGACTCGACTGTTAACACCTGAGTCGGGGTCAAGAGCCCGCAGGGTATAGATGGGAGTCCCTGGGGCAGTGTTTGGTGGTAGCAATACCGTGTCTTCAGGTGCAGGAAAGGCAGGGGAGTTGTCATTCACATCATCCAGCAGTACACGCACCCGAGCTACAGCAAAAGCTGGGGGCACTCCACTGCCTGCTCGCACCTCCAGCTCCAGCACTGGTCCCAGTAGCTCCCGGTCCAGGGGACAAAGTGTTTGCAACAACCCTGAAACCGCATCTAGGGAGAAGAGTCCTCGGGGGTCCCCACCTGATAGGGCAAGGGTCACAGGTGCCAAACGACCTAGGGAGGAGGAAAAAGGGGGTCAAAAAAGAGAGGGGGGCAATTACTGAGTCAGGACCCAGACTCTGATCTCAAGAAGGACTAGGCAGTGCCCACACCCATGGCTTTCAAAATGTTAGGAGGAGGGGAAGGGGTCGGGAAAGAAGTTGGTTGGCACTGAGGTGACATTCATGTGCTTCATGAAGCAGTGTGCCTGCACCATGCCTAAGGAGGTGTTGGGCATTGGTACCAGAGTGTTTTTTACTGAGGCTATCTGCACTGTGATACTCTAAGGTACCTTCAGATGGTGCCTAGAGGGTTATACTGGGGTATTTGGGTCTGGCACCAAGTGGGTATAAAGCTAAATAATACCTGGTGGGTTGTGTGCCTGGACTATGCCCACACTGGTGCCTGGTGCCACATCCTCTGGCACAGAAAAAACATACTGTAGTTGCTCAAATATGGGTGGTGTGGGGGTTCCAGGCACAATGCTGATGTTCACTTGGGCACTGGGTTCTGCCTGCAGGCCACCTCCATCCTGAGCCCCGATCTCCAGCTGCACCACAGAGTTGGCCCGTCTGGCCAAGGGCCAGGCTACTGTCAACAGCCCTGGAAGGAAGGATAGAAGCAGAGATATATAAGGAAACATAATAGGGCTGGAAAGGTTAGGAAGGAAGTGGGTAGGACATCATTGAGGCAGGTGGGGAGGAGGGCCTGGGGAAGGCTCCAGGAATGGGAGGATCCTCACCCGATTGCTCATCCAAGGCAAAAAGTGCAGGGCTATTCCCAGCCAGGATATGGTAGGAGAGTCGCCCATGGGACCCCTGGTCAGGGTCATGGGCACGCACCCTCAGCACAGCTGTGCCTGGTGGACTCTGGGCACTTAGACTCGTAGCATACTCCCGTGGATAAAACTGAGGAGGGTTGTCATTCTCGTCTGACAGAAACACCTTCACATATACCATGGACTTGAGGCCTCCCTGGTGGGACATGCAGCCATAGGTCAGGTGGGCCTTGTCTGGCCCTGGTGAGTGCCCTAACCCAACATCCCAACCTGCCCATGGTCTGCCGACTCACCCCATCCACAGCTGTCACTGTGAAGTCAAAGCTCGAGGGCCCTTGGTCGCGGTCCAGGGTCCGGGTTGTGCACACATCACCGCTGTGGGCATCAATGCGGAATGGGGGAGATCCAGAGGCCCCAAGGCCAGCACCCAAGGAATAGGAGAGGAGGCCAAATGGGCCACTATCTGCGTCTGTGGCTGTCACCTAGGGAGAGGCTGGGGTGAGTGGTGTTCCCTCTTCTTTGCCAGAAAAGCCAGAGGTAGGTGGCGATTAGAATGAGCAGCTGGTGCTTAGAGTCTCTGGATGGCAGACACACAGAAAGGACAAGTATGACATAGGCCCAAACCTGATCCCAGCCCAGACCTCACCACTTAGGTTTCTGAGAGCCTCTAGCCATAACATTTTTTTCAACTGGTCAATACATAACCTTGTTTGATGTGTGTTTCTCTTTAAAGACATCTTATATTTAATATACATTGTTGATTCATTAACATTGAACCCACAGCCAACAGCACTGTATCTCATGCCTGAATAAAGCTTATCTAACATGTATTTTCTCCGTAAGACACATCACAGCCTTCTTGTACTTAGGAACATTAGACAGCACTTCAGCACCATACTTGGGGACCATATAAACAGTGAAATCACCAGCAAAAAAGCATTTAAAAAAATACAATAAATAAGTAAATAAAGGGGACACTTGTTTACAAGCATGAGAGCCAAAACAAGAAGGCAGAACATTGTCTTGTTCAGCGTCTGTGGGGAATGTGAACATTAGGTGACTCAAATTTTTCATCTCTCTGCCCATGTTCAGGAATACTAGCACTGATTTTGGAGTTACAAATAAATTTTAGAGAGTAAGATAATTCACAAATAATGAGGACCAACTACACAAAAAGACAAAAGGGCTGTGACCTCAAATTCCAGGTGGGTCCAGGAAGTTCATACCCTCACCAAGTCTCATAATCACCCAAGCCAAGAACTCACTGACAATGGAATTGTTGAGACTGTTGTTACAGGTTTGATCTTTATGGATTTTGATCATCACAGAGTGGGATCTGATTAATAATGGGTTCTGATCACTATAGGATCTGTTCTATGGATTTATGGGTGTGTGGCTCATGTATCTTTAGCCTAGTATAGTGCAAGGTACATAGGTGCTCTACGTGTGTTTTTTCACTGGTTAAATCATCCTATCTTGTCATAAAACCTTCTTTTGCACTAAGTTTTATACAATGGGTATACATTAGACCCTCAATAGTAGGTTAGTTGGTGCTGACAACTGTAACCTGTGACAATACTCTTTGTGTACATGAGAACCTCAGGGTCATGATATGCTGCAAGAGGAAGCTGGAGAGCTCCCCTTTCTCAGCCAGAAAATGTGCTCAGAGAGAAAGCTGGCCAAGGAGTTCTGATTGTTGCCCAGACCCTTGACAGAAATGATCTGTGCCATCGTTTACTCTCCGGAGAGACACCAAGACCCTGCCATGGCTGAACCCTGGAAACAGCTCCTGCTCCAACTCTCTACTGTGGCTGTGCACCCGGATATCCCAGGAGACGGACTTCCCCTGCATCAATCATGGCAGGCAGCAGCACAGCTGCTGGCACCATCTCCAGAAGCTGTTAAAGACCTTTGCCCTCTGACTTGCTGCAGGAAGAAAGCAATAAACAGTGGTCGGGGGAAGTTGTCAGGAAGTGACCCCAAAAGGCACAGGGGCCACTGACTGGAAATGGGCAAGGCAGAAGTGAATTTCCTGGCCTGTACAACCCCTGCTCAGAGGTTTCACTGCAAATATAGTCTCCATTTTTAGCAGATTCTCAGCTTAATGTCTTAGTCCAACCTTGGTCAGCTCCCTCTCCCATTCTGTCCCAAAGCCATAAGAAACTTTACCCCTCTCCTCTTGCCCCCATCCCAATCCTTGCTCTCAGATGCACTATTTCAAGGAGGAAAGAAAAACGCTTATCTGTGAACTCTCTAAACTTCCTACCAGCCTCCAAGCTGACTCCATATGCCCATCCCAATCCCCTTCCCAGGTGTACCTCCTGCTTTGATTTTTTAAAACACAATTTATTTATTTAATTTTATTTTTCAGACAGGCTCTCTGTTGCCCCATCTTGAGTGCAGTGGTGTGATTCTAGCTCATTGCAACTTCGAATTCCTGGGCTCAGGCAATCCTCCTGCCTCAGCCTTCTGAGTAGCTTGGATGACAGGGATGCACCACCATGCCCATTTCTCCTGCTAAGACTTCTCAATGCTATTTTTCCTGCTTCTCCACCCACTGCTTCTCCCACCACCCACTACCAGTCTTCCTCCATCTCCCCTTACCTGCCTGTTCTTACACACTGTTCCCTGGAATCTCTCCTTGGCTTCTTCTCACTCTACATACTCTCTCAGGGCCTTGTCTTTCGCTTTAGCCACTGTCTATACTTTACTTTAGACTAATCCTCTGAGCTTTCCAAACATGTACATCCAGATGGCTGCTCAACACCTCCACTTGGATGTCCCACAGACACCCAAAATCCAACCTGCCCCAAAATAAACTCATGATCATTCCAAGCCTGCCCTAATGACTTTTTCATCCACACAGTTGCTCAAGCCAGAAATCAGTTCTTCCCTTTTTTTCACCGGTATATCAATCAGCCACGGATTAAGTAAGTCCTCATTAACTCTATTTTTCTGTTTCTCTCCATCACCATTATCACCGTTTTGACTTAGGCTTGAGTTATCCTGAGTTATTGCTCCCCTGCATTATTTTAATTACCTTCTTATAGAAGTTTGACCCTCTGATCTGTACTCTACATGAGGGTTTCTCAACACTGGCACTACTGACATTTTGGACCAGATAATGCTTTATTGTGGGGGCTGTCAAGTGCATTACAGAATGGTTAGTAGCATTCTCAGCCTTTACCCACTAGATGCCAGTAGTATTCCACCAGTTGTAACAATCGGAGATTTCTCTAGATATTGCTAAATATTCCCTTCTGGAGGGCAAAGTCACCTCTGGTTATGAACCACTGCTCTACACTATCATTTGCATAAACAAATCTGAGAATGTTGCTCCTCTACTCAAAAATCTTCAATATTCCCTATAGAAAAAAGCTCAATCCCTCTGACTTGGCTGAGCCTCCCTGCAGTCTCATCCCCCACCTCCCATCTCCAGTCTTAACTCCAGAGATTCTGAGCCCCTGGTAGGCCCTTGAACAAGCTGGGCCCTCCCACACCTCTGTGCCCCTAACCTCTGCTTGAAAGTCTTTTCCCTTCTGATACTCTCATAAACCGCTCGTTCTTTAAGTCTCAACTCATGGGTCCCTTCCTTCAGGAAAGCATTCATACTGCCTATCTGTACCTCATATATATCCCCAAATGGAAATGTTCTTATTGGAATGAAACTATTTCTTTGTACATGAATCTCCCCTCTAAATCCTTCAGATGACAGAGGTGACTCATTCCTGACCTTATGCTATGTCTCTAATACAGTGGCTGGCACATGGTAGGCATTCAATACATTTATACTGAATAGATCAAACATTAAGTCTTCTTGTAACAGTTATAAACTCCAAATGGTCATTTTTACCCCTGATTCCCTATGGTTACTAATAGTAAAAACTCCAGGAAACCACCTGGAGAGTTGCCCTCTTGCTTCAGGCACTAGCGAGGAGAGAAGTCTGGAAGCCATCGCCCATTGGTCCTGGCCAAGAAGGAGAGTAAACACATGGAAGAGTGGGTGGTGGGAGCTGCAGAGCAGCAGGCGAGCAAACATGCAGAGTCTGGCCAGAGGACAAGAGGTCAGCCAGGCCCAGAACTAGCCTGGAAGTCTATGCCGACAGGCAGCCCCTGAGGAGATGCTCAGGAGTCTGGTGGCATTTGGAGACATAAGGACGCCAAGCATCGGCCTCCTAAGAGGACTCCCTGCCTCCTGTCCTCTCTCCTGTTGCCATACTCCACAGTGCAAGCAAAGCAATCTTTCCAAAAGATGTATCAGATTTGCTTAGAGTCCTTCACTTGTTCCCTATGATTTTTAAGATAAAGCTGAACCTGTGACCTGGCCCCTGTCTACTGTCTTGTCTCATCACCCCCGACTCTTTCTCATCAGTGCAGCTGATGCCAGCCTGAACAATAGTCTCCTGAACACGTTCTGGTGTTTGTTCAGCAGCCTTTTCCATAGGCCTGGAGTCTCTGCACACCTCATATTATCCATTTGGCAAAGTTTCATTAGTTCTTCAAGGCCTCGCCTCTGGGCTTCCATAGCACTTTGTATGTCACCTGCTGCAGCACTAGTTACTGGTATGTCTCCCTATCTACTAGACTGGGACCTCCCTGGGAATAGGACTGTCTCCTTTTTTTGTTCTCTGGGCCTAGCACAGTGCCAGGCTTAGAGTAGGTAAATAAAATCTTCAACATGTGAATGAACAAATTATCTATCACGCACCTGCTGATCCAATCACCCTTAAAGCCAGTTAGCTAACTTAAAAAAACCCAACCTGATCATTTCCTTCCCAGCTCAAAGAAGTTCAGTGACCTCTTTTGCTTTCCAAGTAGTCCTAACCCCTCACTGCCTGGTGTTCAAGGACTTCTGCGATGTGGTCTCAAGACTGCCTTTCCAGTTTCATGTTCCCTCCATCTCTCCAGGCCTGATTTGCAGCCACTCTGTGTCTCCTTCAGCCTGTCCAGGGTTCCTGCCTCTTCCCCTGAGAGGCCTTTCTACTCTGGATATCAAGATGATTCTTGCTATCTCTCATCCTCATGTCCGAGCCCAAGTGGCCAATTAAGTCTCAGCTCTGAGGGCAGGGATGAGGATTTCTTCCAGTACAACCCAGCACTGGACTAGGAATGGAGGGCTCCATAAATTCTGGTGTCTTCTTTAGGGAACAGAAGCCACACAGCTATGTAGCATCTCCATCTCTGCCCGGCAGAACAGCTTTGAGATTTTCACTTCCTGACACCACAAATCATTTCTCCTCTAGATCCAATCTTCATTTCCTCACCTGCCAAGACCATCTGCCTCAGCTATTGCACCCTGCTTTCCCATCCTCTCATTAACCCTTACCATCTGCACAGATTTTGGAGCTCACAAGATAGAACAGAACCATCTAGCATAAATAAGCATCAACATATGGCTTCGTAAGGCTTGGTTCCTGCTCTCAGGTCCCCTGTGGCCCTCAGATGCCCCCAGTCCTATCCTGCTATGTGCCAGGCCTACCCACCTGCAGGAAGCAAGTTCCAGGCTGGGTGCCCTCAGGCAGCGAGGCATTGTAGAAAGTCCTCTGGAACTGGGGCTCATTATCATTCACATCTTGCAGGGCCACGCTAACTGTGGCGGAGGAGGCTAGAGGGGGCAGGCCACCATCTGTGGCCACCACAGTCAGCTGTGGCTGAGGTTCCAACTCATAGTCCAGTGAGATAGCCGTAGTGATAATGCCTGAGGTGGGGTCAATGGAGAACCAGTGGGTGTGGGCACCAGGAGCTAGGCTATAGGTGACCTGACCATTGGTGCCTTGGTCAGGATCCCGAGCAGTCACCCGCACCACAAAGCTGCCAGGCAGGGCAACCTCAGGCAGGGGCTCAGGTCGGTAGAGCTGGCGGTCAAAGGCAGGTGCATTATCATTGACATCAGTGACGTGCAGCACAAAGGCAGCCTCGGCCCGCAGTGGAGGTGAGCCTGAGTCTGTGGCTGTAACCCTCAAGTTATAGGCATCCCTCTCCTCCCGATCCAGCCGCCGAGCCACACACACCAGATAGATGACACTGTCTTGGGTGCTTAAGGCAAAGTGGCCCTCTCCACCTTCCAGAGACACATTGACGTGGGCAAAGTCACCATCATCTGGGTCTGACACAGAGATCCGAGCAACAAGCTGTCCAGGTGGAGCAGCCTCAGACACTTGGGGGGAGCCATCTGCACTGAGGAAGATGACAGTCATGGAGGGCTGATTGTCATTGGCATCTCGCACATGCACAGTCACGAAGGCCGAGCCCAGCTCAGGGTGAGCCCCGCCATCTCGTGCTTGCACTACCAGTTCATGGACCCGCCGTTGCTCAAAGTCCAGCGGTCGCTCTAGCCGCAGCAGCCCCGTGTGTGCATCGATGGAGAAGGGTCCATCACCCTCGCTCTGCCTCCGGTTGATCTCATAAGTCACAGCCCCATTGGCACCAGCATCGGCATCAGATGCAAACACCTGCAAGACAGGACTGCCGGGGGCCAGGCTCTCAGACACCACAGCGTGGTAGCGGCTCTGATTGAAAGCTGGGGCATGGTCATTGATGTCCAGCAGTGTCACGTCCAGCAGGGCCTGGGCTCTCCGGGGGGGTGAACCACCATCATAGGCCTCCAGCTGTAGCATATAGTGTGAGCGGTTTTCTCGGTCCAGCTCCCCAGTAACTACCAGCTCAGGCACTGGAGCCCCATCTGGACCCGGGCGTGTCTCCAGCCGGAAGGTCTCTCCAGCCCCATCACCAGATAGCGCATAGCCCTGGGTTCCCAGATGCCCAGCATCTGCATCATGAGCAGGCTCCAGTGGGTAGCGGGTACCAAAAACTGTATGCTCAGGTACCTGCAGGGCAGCTCGAGCCTGTGGGAAGGCTGGAGCATGGTCGTTGATGTCAGCCACTCGCACTGTAACTTCTACAGTGGCACCATCAGGAGTGACTGCAGTGAAGCGGTAGCGGTCCCGCCGCTCACGGTCCAAGACTCGGGCTGTGCGGACGACCCCACTGTGTTCGTCAATGGCCAGGTCTGTGCCCACGCCGCTGCCCTCCTGGGCGGAGATGAAGTACATGGGAGGAGCTGCCGTGCCTGCCGGAAGCCCCGCACTGATGTCCCCAATCAGTGTACCCGCTGGCTGCTCCTCATCAATCTGCAAATCCAAGCTCCCAGCCTGACCCCAGGCACCTGGCACCCCAGCCCCCAGCAGCAGCAGCAGCAGCAGCAACGGTAGCAGGAGGCGGGGCCTGGGGCTCTTCATGCCAGGGCAGGAAGGCACAATGCCCGGCTCCTTCTGCATGACAAGGATAGTCCAGCTGTGCCTTGGGTTCCAGCTCCAGGCCAGGCTCTGGGCCCAGCTTGACCTCAGACTTTGGGTCAGGTCTCACTGGGGCCCTGGTTCCAGCTCAGCCTCCTTGACCTGGGAGAAAACAGAAGGAAACAGGTCACAACAGAGCAGTCCAGAGAACCTGGACTAGGCCACATCAACATTCAGACATGCTCATCCCCAGCAGGCCCATGAGCTGTCTCACACTCATCTCGGGCCACACGGATCTCTGCCTCAGGACTCTTTGGGGCCACTCCAGTCTTCCCCTTGGCAGATCCCATCCTATCCCACCCTCAGCAAATTTTTCTGCTTCCTACTTTTCAGGTCTGAATGCCCACAAACTCCCTTCCTCCTATTTCTAGGCTTAAAAGTATGGACATTCTTTTCTCATTTTCTTCGCATCCAGGACTAATACTCACTTTTAGCCTCCATAACCATGTATTGGGTAACCTTTCCTGAACTGCCAACTCTCCTCTTCTCTGGAGCTTTCCATCAGTACTGCATATGCTCAAGTCTCTCTCTGCTCCCACCCCCCACCCTGCTGGAAGGGAATGATATTCCCTTAACCCTACTTCCCTATTCCCCTTTCCATTCAACAAGAGATTGAACACCTACAATGTGGAGGTACTGGGAATACCACAGTGAATAAAGGAAACAGTCTCTGGCTTCATAGAGCTTATAGTCCAGGAGTTGAACAAGTAATTACAAGTATGACGAGAAAAGTACCGAGAGCAAGGAGGATTATAAGAGAGGCAACCTAGGCAGGGAGTCAGGGAGTCCATGCTTTGCCTAGGAAGTGACATTCAAGTCGAGATCTAAATGACTAGTGCTAGCTAGGCAATGGTGACCAGAAAAGGCGGATATAGAAAGGAGAGAAAGACATTCTGGAAGAGTGAACAGAATATGGAAATGGTTAAAGCCCACCGTCGAGGAGGGGTTCAGAGTGTCTGAGGGTGGGGTGATGGGCATGTGTGTGAGGCATAGTGCTAGAGGCAGAGGGTAGGAAATGAGACAGGGACTTGCAAGCTATGTTGAAGATTCTGACCTTATCCTAAAGGCAAATGGAAGCCACTAAAGCACTTCAAGGAAGAGTGCCAGAATATGACCTACATTTTGTGAAGATGGCTAGTGCAGTCCTTTGGAAAGCAAAGATCACGTATATGGGACAGTGAGGAGGCACTTGTGGGCATCCAGGAGATGACACTGCTTTGATGGTAACTTTGGTGAGTGTAAGGAATAAACATGGCAAGAAGTGGCTAGGTCTGTAGGGGGTTCAGGAGGTAGAGAGGCAGGGCTTGCTGACTGCTTGAAGGCAGAGGATGAAGGATTGGATGGGCAAAATCAAGGATGATGGGCAAATTTCTGACCTGAACTACCAGCTAGATAAAGGTCCTTAACTGCTCAGAAAGAAAAAGAGAGGGGGTGAGGGACCAGAGAGGCATGGTGCCTCTGAGTCTAAGGGGAGCCAGGGTTTCAAATGATGCTTAAGATCAGGAAGAAAGAAGCCCAGAGCCCCTTAGTCTAGTGATTAAGTGAGAGAAGAATCTGTGAATAAATGAGAGCGTGGACTGAAGATGGGATGTAGTCACCAGACGGAAGAGGGACATTTGGAAGCTACCGCCTGAGAGATTGTTTCATTTCCCCATTTTCTCACTTCTCACACTCTCTTCCCTCTATGCAGTGAGGCTTGCTCTCTTGTCACATTGCTCTCACTAAGCTTCCAAACATCTCTACGTTCTACACTGGCAGCCACCATTTTATCTTCCTTTTATTGGATCATTCTGGAACACTGAAACACTGATCACTGGCTCCTTGAAATCTCTTCCGCTCGGTTTCACACTGTGACTCCTACCTCTTATTTCCATCATGCTTCCCTGCGCACTCCTCCATCTCCTTTGCAAGTTCTTCTTCTTCTGCCCACTCCTTCATGATTGGTGCTTTTCAGGGTTCAGCATCTTTTCCCACTCTCCAAACTTCCTGGGTGATCTTATCTAGTCCCATGCCTTTAGTTCACATCTATC